CCCCCCCCAAGCACCAAGAATGCAGAGCATCCCTTGCCCCAGCCTGAGAGTTCCTGTCTATACTTTGTGGCTAATAGCCAGTTGATGGACTTCTGGTCCCATATGCTTATCTAATTCCCTCTTGAAGCCGTCCATGCTTGTAGCCGCCACCTGTGGCAGTGAATTCCATGTGTTAATCACTCTTCGGGTGAAGAAGGACTTCTTTTTGTCCGTTCTAACCCGACTGCTCAGCAATTTCATGGAGTGCCCACGAGTTCTTGTACTGTGAGAAAGGGAGAAAGGTGCTTCTTTCTCTACCTGCTCCGTCCCATGCATAATCTTATAAACCTCGATCATGTCACCCCCTCGATCGTAAATGACTGAGGGGCCTTGAGAGATGTTGGACTCAAGCCATTTGGGACTTCATAGGTGCACCAGAACTGAGAACTGATCCTGGAAACTAATTAGAAATATTTATCCTGGCCGCACCTTTTAATCTCCTAGCCACGGGGTTTTGCATCACTTACATATTCCAGACTGTCTTCAAGGGCAGCCTCACATAGCATCCTGTCTGGATATAATCAAGGAACATTTAACTGTGGACAAGTCTGCCTTCTCTTGGAACGGTCTCAATATCAGAATTAGCTAGAGCAGGTGGATAGAACCCCTCTGTCAGTTGCCTATCCAGTGATGGATCCAGAGGTACCTCAAAGTCTGGTCTTTAAGGGGGAAATATATTCCTAGCCAGCACAGGCTGTACATTTATTCCTAAACCAGGCCAGCTTTTTTTCCTGAGTTCATTTCTGTCTTGTCTGGATTTGGCTGGTAGATCCCTATCTCTGATTCTCAAAGGTCTTCATAGCCTCCCTGAGACGAAATGTTAATGAGACAGAGTCGGGCACTATCAGCATAGCGATGCACCTTCATCCATCATGCGCTTTCTCCTAATGGTCTCACGCGGGCGCAAAGCATCGTGGGGGAGGCAAGATAGAATTGTCAAGGCAAGGAACGAGGCCCACAGCACAACCTTCTGAGACCTGCCCCAAAGAAAGAAGCCGAGCAACTATCAAAGGGCAGCGAGTTCTGTGCCCCAAAATAGCCAACGTGGGTTATTCAAACTCACAGGACCAAGAGTAATGTGTTAAATTTTTAATACCAGTCTTACAAGGCCTGTCATGAGACTGGAGGCACGGATCCATCTATCATTAATGAACACACCCTATCTGTTGGATACTTCAGTTCCAGACGATTTAATTGGCCAGGATGGGATGAACAACAAATAAGACTAAATAGTTTCGTATCTCAAGTTCCGTCTGCATCCCTGTGTTGCAGCAGATGAAATTTATCCATGCAGACTGTCAGACCCCACAGCAGGCAATGAAGTACACACTTGCTATCAAAGGGCAGCGAGTTCTGTGCCCCAAAATAACCAACGTGGGTTATTCAAACTCACAGGACCAAGAGTAATGTGTTAAATTTTTAATACCGGTCTTACATGAGACTGGAGGCACGGATCCATCTATCATTAATGAACACGCCCTATCTGTTGGATACTTCAGTTCCAGATGATTTAATTGGCCAGGATGGGACGAACAACAAATCAGACTAAATCGTTTCGTATCTCAAGTTCCGTCTGCATCCCTGTGTTGCAGCAGATGAAATTTATCCATGCAGACTGTCAGACCCCACAGCAGGCAATGAAGTACACACTTGCAGGAAGGTTTTACTTTATTGAAGCCATGAAGCACTTAGAACAGATTCTCTGTTCCGAATAACGAGTTGAGCGTTTGACAGATAGGTTGAAGCAAGTTCATAATTACACTAGCCAATAGATATGGTTCCCGCGCCCGCTTAGAAGGCGCACAGCGTGCCCAAACCCTGAGAAGCAACGGTTCTCTACAGTTAAACAATTAAAACTATTCCCACACTACATATTCATTACAGACTAAGCAAAAGCCTCCTGCCGCACACCACCTGTGGCCTTGAGTTGATAACGTTCCATCAAAGCAAGACTGGAAAGGAATGCAGGGGAGGAGATGAGCGCATGGGGGTGAGGGCGGACATGCGCACCAGAGTATACTACTGTTACCATGGCAATAGAGGTTGTTGACAAGCGAGGGGGGGAAAGGGATGCAGACAGCCCAATACATACATTAAAGACACATTGGCAGCTTGCTGACACAGACACAGCAAGAAGGAAGCTTAAAAAACATTAAGCACATTCATAATAAATTTAGGATCCAAGACTGAGAAAATATGAACCGGTCCTTATCCACAAAGGTGGTCATTTTGAGCATCTTCCATCACTTGCGGGATGACGCTTAGCAGATCCAGTATGGAAGAAAATAACGATTTTGCTGTCCTCGGTGCTGCTAAATGGGCCCTGGAATGGGCTCTGACTTGTATTCTGTTAGCCTTGGTATGAGCTTTTCCCCCACCATCTCTTTAGTCATAACTTTTTCGTGATGACCCAGGCCCATAGCTGCAGCGGGGCCTCTCGGGGCCTGGCCCCCCAACTTCCCATCCATCCCATGTCCCCCCGCAAAAAAATCGTGTGTGTGTTGTAGTGCACAGCCACGATGCACCATCACCTTCAGTGATCCTGCCTGCTGGAGTCTCGCCCTTGCCCTCGCCCCACGACCTCACAGGCCAGCCCCACCCTCCATTCCCACGCTGCTGGACGGGATGCTGCCAGATGGGGCACAGGAAAGAAGCAAAGTGGTGGTGGCGGGGTGGGGTCAATCCAGCACCCCCATCTCCTGGTTTTCATGCACATTGTGAATCGCTGTGCGGGTCCCTCCCCGCCCGCTCACATTCCCCGACTTTTTTAAATGCCCTGGACTTTAAAAATCCAGTCTATGCCCCTGTGACGACTCGAGATTACTCAGAGATCCCAGACTCTTGTGGGATAGGGGGAGTCCATTATGTCTACTGCACGGTTTTATGGTTCTAGAGGCACGGTGTGGGCATCAGCCGTGTTCCCAGCAATGTCAGCAGGGAACAGGCTTCATACTTGTGACAAATGAACAACGGGGAGGGGTAGATGCTTGGAGTATTACTGCCCTTATTTTCAAAGGAAAGTTTTCTCTTGCTTCTTTGTTCTAGATGCTTGGAGTATTACTGCCCTTATTGTCAAAGGGAAGTTTTCTCTTCTTTGTCCCCACAGGTCTTTGTGCAACACGAGATATTCACATACTGGCAAAATTTTAACCTAGTTAAGCCTGCAGTCTTGCGTGGGCAGTGGGAAGACAATTAGCCATTCTAGGAGAAAGGTAACTTGCACAACTCAAGGCTCGCCTCTTATCTCAACCTCTTCCAGGCCCCGTTTCAGTCACTCCTTGACCAGTTTGGTGTAATAGTTAGGAGGGCGGACTCTTATCTGGGAGAACCGGGTTTGATTCCCCACTCCCTCCACATGCAGCTGCTGGTGTGACCTTGGGTCAGTCGTAAGTTCTCTCAGAGCTCTCTCAGACCCACCTACCTCACAGGGTGCCTGTTGTGGGGGAAGGGAAAGGGATTCCCACTTTGACGCTGCCCCATGAAGTTTGCAATTCCGAGTTTCGTAAAATAAAGCGAGTTCCTTGCAGGGGGAGTATTTCGGGTCTTCAGCCGGTCACCTCCTTTCTTTTCACTTGTAAAGCTGAAAGGGCCGCGTCGGTTGCGTTTGTATGCACATCGGCTGGCAGCTTTGTTCCTGTTGCGTTTTGCTCCCCTCGGTAAAAAGCCTTGAGCTGGGCAACGGTTGGCTTTACTAGAGGAAGCAAAAGGGGGGATCAGAGTCTCCTGTTGCTTCTAGCCAGCTCCGTCATTGCCGCAGCTGTCACTTTTTCTGTTTAGTTTCATTCCTTTGGACAAGGAGGAAAAAAACCCTCTTGCCTGAAAACAGTTCCTTGCTATTCTTAGCCCGTAAACAGTCAGATCACCCCCCTACCCCTTCTCCAGCCCTGAAGCTCAGACAGACAAGAGGAGGAACTAGCTTTTTAAAGGGGGAAAGTGTGTTTTAAGGTATAGGTCTTTTCTAGTTCAAAATGCTAATCATGTGTGGAGGAGCTGGTTTTGAATAGTGGTGGGCACTGAAGGGTTAAACGCCTTCTGCTTTCCTCGCACGCTCCCAAGGCAAGTCGAGGCTGCCATCGGCATTTTGCCTGCATGAACGGTCAGTGGAAGAGAAAACACGGAAGGGAAGGGGATTGGGCAAAAGCAGGCAATATGAGGGAGGGCTACCACTCTTAATCCCCACCACCAGTGCCCTTTTGATCAACCGATGCATGTTGTTTCGGGAGCAGGGAAAAGATGGGGGAGAGTAACGTGTGTGTGTGTGTGTGTGTGAAGTGAGCGTAAGGGAGAGAGGAGAGGCGTGGCCAAGTGTTGCCCATTCTTGACTTCCCTACCCTCTTCTTGCCCGTTTGAACAAATTTAACAATTTTCTCCAGTATTTCTGTGTAACGATATCTGCCAGGGGAAATACACTTCATGGGTCTGTGGTCCGTGAAGGCTTTATGCTACAATACATTACTTGGCTTTGTTAGGTTCCGAAAGATTCTGTCTTATGCTTCCTGCCACAAGCTAAGATGTCCAGTAACACCATCCACAAGGGTCGTTTCGACCAGGGAACTGTCAGCTCAGCTGCCGTCACGCACACACACACACACACACCGAGAGTCAGGAGGTTTCCGAAATCAACAGAATGTGGTGGCACCTTAAAAACCGGCATGATGACTCCCGTGAGACTTCTCCAGTAGCTTTTGAAAGATGAAACATTTAGTAGGGCGGATGTCCGTGTTTCAGATGCATTTCCCAAGCTTTCCCCAAAAAAATCTTGGATGCAGCTACGTAATTTCCATCTCTCTCTCTCCCTCCCTCCCTCCCTCCCTCCCTTTTATTTTTGCACTTGGAATGATAGCTAGATAGGCAGAGGAGCTGGTGTAAGTAAAGGCTGCTATGTTCCAGTGTCAGGGCAGGATGGGACATTGGGGGTGGGTGGGAAGCATTACTCATCCTCTTCTGTGTCATTTTTCTAGGTGAGGAAAAGAAGGTTCTTTTGTCTAAGAAAGATAAAATGAAGCTGCGCAAGGAGAGATGGCTGCAGAGTAAGTCGGCTTTGCTTACGCCAGGCATTCAGGATTGGGTTGTCCGGAAGGCGTTAATCTGTAGAAGGGTTGCCATGTCCTGTGAAGCTTTGCCAGTCGTGGACACGCAAGTGGTTCGTGTGCCAGATGGTGGTGCTTCCATAATCTTCCAGTTGGGTGTAGTGGTTAAGGGCGGAGGACTCTAATCTGGAAAACCGGGTTTGATTCCCCACCACTCCTCCACCTGAAACCAGCTGGGTGACCTTGGGCCAGTCACAGTTCTCTCAGAGCTCTCTCAGCCCCACCTACCTCACAGGGTGTCTGTTGTGGGGAGAGGAAGGGGAAGGAGATTGTCAGCCACTCTGACACAAGGACGAGGGTATGAGTCCAATCCCTCCTCCCCCCTCCCCCCCTCCAGTCTGCTCTGGTTTTCTTGAAACTTTTGAAGTGAAATGTTCATTTGTTGCCTTGCTTCCTCCATGAAGCCCAGGGTTGCGTAAAGTCCTCCCCCATTTTATTACTGCTACACCCCTGTGAGGTTAGATTATGCTGAGAGGGAGAGTGACTTGTCCAAGGTTACTCTTCGTGGTCGAGTGGAAAACAGGAACAGTTGCCCGGCTGCCCTTCCTGACATTCTAATCATTATACGACACTAGGTTTCCAGGGGGTTCCATTGAAATATCATGAACCATGGTTGGTTTGTGGCTAGAATGAGCCAGGAAATCCTCAAGCATGCATGTGCTCTTCTTCCTCCTCTTATGCCTAGCGCCAAGGCTGGAAGGCATTTTAGTTTAGACCAAATCTCGTTTTGTCTGAATTGGGGCAGTTTAACAGATGGGTGGAAAGGAATGGGCCGCTTGGAGAATATTCCTCCCTGACTAATTCCCACTACTTGGCAGTATGAGCGTCACCTGAAGGAAATTAGTCGATGCGTGTTTTTGTTTAAGGCTGAGATAGCACAAGTGCTGCAATGCTGGCCGGCCAAGCGAAGGAAATGACCACCCTCAACGTCACGTGCAAGAAGGTGCTGTGAAAAGGCAACTTGACTGTTGGATGCAGATTCGTAACTTCAGAGAATGATTCCATGCGGATTACTGTTTGGGAGTTAGTTTTTTTCTTTTCTGTTTTTTAGGAGGGAGGGAGGTGGGAGACTAAGACGCCTTTTGCTCTACTTTTTCTTTTGCCAGCTGGGAATATTCATCCTCACGATGCAAAACTTTTTTCTTTTCTGCCACGTCTCAGCCGATTTATGGTGACTCCATAGGGCTTTTCAGGGCAAGAGGCGTTCAAGGGTGGTTTGCCATTGCCTGCCTCTGTACAGCAACCCTGGACTTCCTTGGAGGTCTCCCATCTAAATGCTGACCAGGGCTAACCTTGCTTCGCTTCTGAGATCTGATGAGATCGGGC